CTACTATAAGAAAGGACTGCACAAGAAACTGTGAAAATGCGTGTTTACGAAACAACCTTTTGATATTTTATTTATTTATTTATCGCTGCTGAACGCGTATATTATAAAATGTTAATTAGACAATAGACCATAGTAATAATAAATCATTAAAGCAAGTATGTACTTCATATCTTCAACAACACAAAGAGGGTACTGTATGAAACATGAAACACCTCTGAAATTGTCAATTTTGCAATAACAGATAAGTTGACTACTAACGTCAACTGACACACTATGGGATTATCGAGGAATCAATTCCGTTAAATGCTCGTAAGCATACACAACGTGTCCAATTAATTAATAAAACTACTTATGGTTAGCTAATGCTTAAATAAAGGATAGTTTTAATGTCCTTCTGTGAAATCTCACGTCAGTGACGATTGGTATTTGTAAGGTAACCCATGAGTGCCCTTTTTTGTACCACTCTGTAGACAAATGTTAATGGTTTCCCTTCTCCTTTTTGTTTAACAAACTGGACTGAACCAGTTTCAACCGGTATTTTCAGGTTTCGTTTGATCTCATAATAAGATCCTAGCTTTGAAATACGTTACCTACTCAAAATGCTGATCTCATCTGCTGAACACCTGTCTAAAATTTGGCCTCCGTGAAGACTTTTTCAAAATAGGCATTAAACGTTACCAGCGTGAAGGATTTTTTCGTCCTCCTTAATCTGTTCATGCATACAACAGAAATACTTTTACGTTGTAGTACCACTTGAACCAAAAAACCTTTAATTATAAAATGAAACTAGAAATAATAAAGTAAAATTAAATGCTTTAGAACACAAAATTTAAAAATTTACAAGTGTTCAGTTACGAATTCGTAACGAATTATTTGTTAAACGATTATAATTCCATTGTACTTCATTTGTTTCGGTTGTTGAGCTGTTTCTGCATTCATTAAGCCAATTTAAAAATGTTAAATGCATCATCATAAATTCCCATTTAAATGTCGAACCGTTAATCACACAATAGCTTTGTATGTAGGCATATTAATCAGTTTTGATGACGTTGCTATGAATTACAGTAAATAAAAACAAATAGGTACATAATATTCGAAAATCATTCTTGATACGAATCATTTTAAAAACCGTTACTAAAGATTAATATTGAGATTTTTTTAGTGACAATATTGATATAGGTAATAATAAAGATATAAGAATCATGTTTTTTTACCAGAACAAATTCTAGTATCTCAACAATATGGCGAAAAATCGTATGGTAGCATATAATCTTCTAATGTTTGCTCTGTCTGAGTTAGTTCTCGATAAAATATTGATATTGACAATAAAGAGCTGATTGTAGCAAATAAACATCACCCGTTTTGGGTGATCCAAAGTAGGATTTGTACCGGAGATACAATTTTTTGCAACTATCACTTAAAGATTACGCATAAAATTCTTTGTCTTTATTCTTTATTCTTTATCGAGATGAAAAGGAATTTTTTCTATCCTTGGGAACAGATTCTTTTTTTTTTTGGATAAAATGTAAACTATGTTTTTTTCCTGCACCCCTAACAACATGTCTACAAAATTTCATAATGTTGGGTTGAGTAGTTGAGGTGTGAAATGGTTAGAGATGTGATTTATTTAAAATACAAATACAAAATAAAAAATACCTATTTTTATCTTGCATTTAAATACTTTTTTGAGAAAAGCATTTAGTATTTTATTTGAAATACTTTTCCAAACTAATTTTTGCCGTTAAATGTTTTGATATCATCACCGATCAAAGATTATATAGAGTGAATGAAAGTTGCTCGCATTGACCATTGAAGGTATTAGAACTTTAAAAAGAGGACAAAGAGACATTCCATCAATGCCTTCTAATTCTTTAACTGAAGAGAACCCAAAAAATTCTTAACTCCTTGAAAATGGATAATCTAAAATATTGGATCGATATTGTTTTCCGGATTCAGTGTCATGGTCCATTGAATTTTGAAGTTTCAAATTAAAATCAGCACCTGAAAAATCAACACTTATCGTACCTTTAGCAAAGAACTACGAAATTCTGTGAATTACGACAAAACAGTCCGCAAAACAATATCGAATATACGCCGGGTGTGTAAAACTAAAAACTACAAGATATTGTAGTGTGCTAATAAATGCGTACAATCCAAAATTCTTAGAAAACGATTCGAAAACTTCATTTGTTAGATGAACCCAAAACTATGGATTCCATGTCTTTCTCTTATTATAATGTGTAAAACATCAGAAACAAAATGGAGTTGTAAACATTTTGATATAACATGATTGATGATGATTTTACATCAATAAAATTATTTGCAACCCTATCATAAAAATCAGAGCCAAAGATCTTACACGCTAAACAAACTATTTTGGCATCAGTGTCTTTTTTCCAATTAAAACGGGTGACAAAGGTAAATAAGGAAGTATATAGAAGAATTATTTGTTGCTGAACTGACGAAACTACACCATAAAGACAGCAAAACTATATCTCAATCACTTCAAACAGAAAAATATGAATCATACTCAATCTTCGCAGCTGGTGATATAATGCAAACACCACTATTAGTCTAGAAAAACTACAATATTTAAAAAATAAGAATATGCCTGTAAGATTTTCTTGAAAAATATTTTATACTCAAGTAAATATAGAAAATTAAATAATATAAAAGTATTTTGGAAATACGTATTTTGCATTTAGCATTTAAAATTCAAAAGGAAAATTTAAATTTGAAATAACAAATCAAAAAAGTATTTGCATTTTGTATTTAAATGCTTTTAAAAAACCATTTTGCACATCTCTAGAAATGGTAATAAGCAAACAAACAAACTTACATTCCCATTTATAATATTAGTTAGGATATAGGTATTAAAAAAAGCATGCATTTTCACAAGTTCCTGCACCCCCTTTGGTAAAACCTTATTAAGTCATACTGCCCCCCCTCTCACAAGTTTCTAAAATAGGAAGTACATATGCCATTAACGCATTTTATTAAGTCATCATCATACCACATACACATCATGGCACAGTTTGCGCATTTTTTTACTGAAGAAGTAAGTGTTGGGTCATAAGTGTGCCACAAACTCACAACTGCATTGGTTTGGATTTCAGGCTGAATGTGGGATTGAGCGTTGCCATTGGGATGATTGGCTTTGAACTATTGGCCTTCATTGCAGGATTCACCATGTTCAATAACGCCTCATCCTTGCTATGTATCCTTTTTGTTACCGATTTTTTAATCGCCCCTTAGATACTCACGGAAGTTTATCTACATCCTTCTAAAACTGTGACAATCTCTAAGTAACAGGTCTTATCAATTTATTGTATGGATTTGTAACATAAACAGAATGGACTGAAAGCCAAATTTTGTATTTCGTATTATTATTAAATTAAAAACAACAGATAGATAAAAAGTTTAGTAACTTACCGTATCATTTAATGCTCTATAATCCTGTTTCAACAAAAGTTATAAAATAATAATCTTTTCATCGCTTTTCACGGAAAATTTGAATACATTAAATTCCGTAAATATCTTTTGTCGCAAAGTAGCATTTAACAAATATTTTCCACGTAAAAGATACTTATTACCCATCTATGATTCGTATCTAGTGTCCATTGTTTCAGAAAAATTAATTAAGTAATTTGATTACATAATCATTTCAATTTGACCTTAGTAGGTACTTATTTGGTAACCTTGAAAAACTTTGTAAAAATGGAACTCTTAATGACAACGAACCCATTCACGTGTTTTTCTAAAAAGTTTTTATTTTTACCGTTTCAAATATTTGGCTCCATTTATAATTACGTAAGTTAACAAAAAGTCATACAAGTTTCTCCTTGTTTACACGGTAATTACTAAAGCAGTAGACGTCAACTTTTATTTCTTGCTTTGGCATTTGTTATAAAAAATTTACTCTTTTTAAAGTATCCATTTTATTGGAACATACACAACTAAATTGATTGTTTATTGGCATTGTTTCCATGCCCATAAATGTATCAGATAATCCTTTTATTGCTCCGGAATAACACAATTTGACAAAAGAAAATAATTGAGTGTTTGAGTGTAGTACGTAGTTAGAAACCGAACTTTCCTGTTTTATGATTTATTGAACTCAACATTTTTACTAAACTCTAATCAAACATTTTGAAGCAGGTAGATATTAGTCATTAATAAATATTGTAAATGGTGATGTACTGCCTATTATGTACGAATATATATTTAATTAAATTCAAAAGCAGGCTCTGATAATTTAATTTTACTTCTATGAGCTGCCGCGGTGTCTAGGAATCGCTCACATGAGTTAAGTCATTCGGCTTGCCCTTCATACTTTCCGCGCAGCTGTTACTTAGCAGATGGTGAAAACTTGGCACAGTTTTTCGCATGTAAAAAATTTCTCTTTTTTCCTTTTCTCTCTATCTCTCTCTCTTTCTCTCGTTCGTTTCTCTTTTACGGAAGTGAAATGCAAGGAGATCTTTTTTTATGCGGTTGTTTCTAAGAGCTCGTTCGAGCCAACAAACTGAATTTACGTTTATTATCCTACGCTGTACGCCAACGCAATGTCTGACATTTGTTTCATAAAAATGGCATGAAACAACAAAAAGTTTTACAATGGTGAGCTAATAAATGCAAATTACAATATTATCACGTTTGTGGGTAATTGTAAACTGATTATGTGGAACTATTTGCATTGATTACTTTCCGTAATTAATTTTTTTAATTTACGTGTAGATTAAGTACTTAGGTAAACTTATTTTAGGGAAAGTCGCAAATACTTTTAATAACTTTTAAAAACCAATATGACTACTTTGGTACTGTAATCCGCTGTAAACATTTCGATCTTTGCCAAAATTATTTTCAAGTTTTTAATCCTATTCCACGTTAAAAGGTTTTGAAAGAAATTTAGTTATTAACGTCACAACAAAAAATAACAATTTGTCTGCAACACGCCCTCTTTTTTTTTGCGATAACAATAAATATTAAACGTATGTTTAATTGTATATTAACATAAGTAATTTTGATACACAATATACAACTGTAAACTGTTTGTTGTATATAGTAATCAAAATTATTCAAAAAATTCATATTTTAATTTAAAACGTTTTTTTTAAACTTTGCTTGAAGATAGGCAACATACATTACACTTCTGCTAAACATTAAGCACACCGTTGAGAACTATGTAAACGTTGGAAAGATGTGTTGCATATCTTTACTAAAGATTTTATAGATAATTTTGTCCCCGTTTTTGTACTTGATGTTTTCAGAAAGTTAAATGAAAATAATTTGCTTAAACTTTTGTCATAAAAATGTCATTAAAACTGAAATTTAGTAACACCAAGTTTAGAAAGATATAAAAACAGGAAACTTAAAACTAGAGTGTCATTTTGCACCTGTCTCATTACGTCCTCGTTAGATTACTTGACAAGAACTCTGTTACAAACATTTATGTGTTTACATCTTATATTTACTTAGCACAAATGTAAAGTTCATTACTTTATGCTATTCTCGTAAATATGCGTATGTATTACTCGATGTACATTATAACGGTACTTCAAGAGGAAACAAATGACGCATGAAAAATATTCCTTTTTTCAAATCAAATGGTCATTTCTTAAGCCATTGATCGTATTTCTAAAGATATGTTAAATTTATAAAGTTGTTACCTCATTTTTAATTAACAAAAATACAAATCAAAAAACATCTCTGCATTTTATAAATTAGAACTTCTGATGTTTGATTAGCTGTTGCTACCTTATCGTTAATAAATCAAGCAAGTTAAAAACAACAAGGTATTGGCATTATGCAAATACCTACTAAATTCTTATTTCTTCTCCTCTGTACGTAAACCAAAGATGATGTAATAGATCAAACTACTACGATTGTAAATTATGATTTGTGCTAAATTTATTTACCAGAAAGGTAACAAAACAGGTCGATAAAAAAGGTGCATTTACTTAAAATAAACAATAAGTATTGTTTTCAAGATATAACTTGATTCCGTACGTAACCGCTTAAATTACATAATTTTAATTTCATCATAAATAATAGATGAAAGGTCGAAATGTTAATGTGGCATATCTTTTGTAATGATACAGGGGGTCTTAAAAAAGGTTGTCCACATATAATAAGTTAAAGTTATTTTTGTTGTTTTGAAAATTAACAACAAAAATCGAAATTAAGATTAAATACGGGAATCATAGAATTCTTATTTTAGAAGATTGGATATTACTCACTCTAATAAAAAGTTGAAAACAAATATAACCACTGGCCTTCCGTTGATTTGTTATTTATTTTAATGAAAAACATAGTAATCTTTGTACCTTGCACACTTAATATAAGTTTACCTCAACTTAGTTACGATTTACAACTACAATTTTCCCCAATGATATATAAAGATATTTTCAATTAAAAGCAAATATATTTACGTATAATATTTAGCTAAAAACGATAAATCCAAAGGAAGTATTAGAAACCTTACAGTCGAATTTAATATGATAATCCTTTTTCCTGTTTTTATTCGTGAATATGTTTTGAATAAGAATAATGTAGTAAATAATTTCAAACATGCTTCGAAATGTTAAAATGTAAAACGTGCGCCCTCGGCGAGGCCCAATCCTTGACTTTAATTTAGTTAGGCACTCTACATGTGCACGAAGGAAAGGACTAAATGTCAATATGTATAGCGACAGCGACTGTTCTTGAAACTACAAAAAAGTAACAATCAATTTGCACCTTTTAAATATACACAATGTGCATGCATGCAACTGGTAAACAACGGGATTGTTGCATGACGGTTGTATCAATACGCAAAGGTGAATTGCAACAATTAATAGGGAGATAAATAAACGTTTTGCAATCGTATCTAACGAACTTAATAAGTTTTATAAAGTAATATTTTTTATTAATCTTTTTTTTGTTCCTTACACTTATCTTAAAACCCAAAACATTTAGGATCGGTCTAGTTAAACGGAATTATTTTGGTGAATGGCATTTTTGCCATTTTTTTACATTATAGAAATACTATATCGATAATAATATACAAACACATGCTAGTAGTTTCTGTAAAACCTTGTATGTAGTTCATCCGTTATGGGAGTCAAATCGCAAAGATTTTCCCCTATTTTTCTGAGTATGTTGTAAGTTTTTCCCCAAAAATCAGTCCCCAAAACGTACAATTACAATATTACAATAAAAAAAATATATTTGAGATCTAACTACAAATTAACGGTTTTCGGATTTCTCCCTTTACTTGCTATAAGACTTTCTGTTTCGTTTTCTTTCCCTTATCTTGCAATTTTATCTTTTTAACGGAAAATAGAACTAAAATAGGAAACAACTTATAATGTAAAACAGTGAACATTACAAATAAAATAAAAATTAGTGTATATATATACGAAAAAAAATAGGAATAGAGAAGCTTGTGTCGCGAGTTTAATAATAATTGCGTTTTCAGTGTCAGGCATCAAAAATTTCCTCTAAAATGTCAAATTTTGTTTTTCTATGCGTTGCTTAACCATTTAATTAATAAAATTATTCCGAATTCCTCAAAATAATGGACAGATTACCAAAAAGTTAAATATTGCATTTTTTTTTAAATTAATAGAAGGCTGTGGAAAGTTTGTACTGGAAAGAAAAACAAAAACATGCTACTAAGTTTGTCGAATATTAGTTGACATAATGTATGGGTCAATTTACGTTTTCATTTCTGTTTTTCCATTTTCCTTTCATTCCTTTGTTTCTATATTATATTAGATTATGACGCTATTATTACTTATCATCCTGCTTGTAAACAGTTGTGAACTATTTCCTTGTGGAAATAACAGCAATATTGCCAAAATGTTGTCTATAAATACAAGCTTCAGTTGCATCGCATATTCAGTTTGTTATCACTATCGAAGACGAAGTAAAGATCATAAAAAGTTTCGTCAGTGGAACGAAATAGGGCACCCATATGATGGACTTTATGTCGAAAGTTGTTTTCAGTGTAAGTTTATCAACTTTAAAAAGCGTGACTATAATTACAGCTTAATACAACTATATAACGCGTTTGTTAAGTGTGTTTTAAACTAATTTATTGACTTGACTTGAATGAACAATTCAGGAGGAGAGCATACCCAATTGTCCAAATTTTAAAAATTCAAATCGAAGTAGACTCGGAAATATTCTAATGAGTGGTCACCGTGAGACACCCTGTATACAGCAGTACTATAATGAATTATCTCAAAAAATAAATAAAGCAATTTTTACA